GCTTCTGGACGGTTTTAGAATCTCATCTGATGAAAACTCACCTGTAAGGAGGTCTTCCTCTTCCTGCTGCTGGTGGGGGTGGGGGTGTTTGGGTTGGTGCTGGTGGGGGTGGGGTTGCTGGGGGTTGTGGGCGTGGCCTGGTTCATGGGTTGGGTGTGTGGAGTTGTGCTGGTTGTCATGGTATCTGGTGTGGTGCAGCTTGCTGCCGGAGGCCTGAGAGTCACTCTGGTCGTGGTTCTGGTCGTGGTTCTGGTCATGGTTCTGGTCGTGGTTCTGGTCGTGGTTCTGGTCATGGTTCTGGTCATGGTTCTGGTCGTGGTTCTGGTCGTGGTTCTGGTCGCCTTGATGCTGCTGCCGCAGGAGCCACACCCACTCATCTGAAACACACAGGTCGCCATGACATTACAGATTTAAAGAGACAGAGCTGAAGGCAGCCGACAGCCTCACAGCTGCATCCTGACCACCGACTGTAAACAAAGATGGCCGTCGCCTCTGTGATGTCACCCACAGGTTTCTGAAGCTCAGAGTGAGCTGCTCTACCGTTGCCATCTTGGCAGTGTCTGACTCTGCCCCTAACTCCCAGCTAAACCAAATATGGTCAAAGAGGAGGGACGTGTGTGGAGCTGGTTTGTGCCAAGCATACGCTCACCACCTGTCACTCAAAGAGGCCACACCCTCAATCCTCTATAACTTTAGTCCTTAATAAAATGTAAACAGGTGAGTTGTATAGAGTTAAAGGTCACCTGTGCACCCAGGTCACCTGGTCACCTGTAGACTCTGGGTTCAGGTTGTATGTTCTTGGTCTCAGACGTGATGGTGACTCATTCTCTTCCTGTTATTGTTTCCAGGGTAGTGGTTTAATGGTGTGACCTTCATGGACAGGAAGTCCGTTCAATCGGAGGCTTGGTGGGAGCGGACCGTACCATGTGGAGGTGTGTGTGTGTTTGTCTTTGTTAAACGGAGCCTCTAAAGGTCAAAGGTCTATTTTAGTTGGACTGTTTTGACTCTGGGAGTTTTCATGGAACAGACCACACCTCCCTCAGTCCTGCAGCTCACCTTCATCTTCATCACTTCATACTCATGAAGAGTTTTATCTGTTTTCCTGCTCAAACAAACGGCAGCAGACTGAGACCTGAACACCACAGATAGGCCTGTCAGACCTCTCTACTCTCATTCATGGGCTTCAAAGAAACATTAAAGCTCCTCCAGTGTAAAGGTCTGTGTCCATGTGTAGTGTGATTATAGATCAGCTCTAGCTTCTATATTAATACTGTGAAAGTATCAAAGCCTCAGTCCACAGAGAAATGCACACAGCCTGTATTCAGAAACTGAGCCTTAAAACCAGCCGTCAGGACTTCTGGAACTTTGTGATGTCACAACAAAGCAGTCACCAAGCCCCGCCCACCTGGACCCACCATCCAAACCTTGCAGGATTTGGTCGTTTGCGTGTGTGTATATGTGTGTGCGTGTGTGTGTGCGTGTGTGTGTAATCATACCTGGACCATGGAGCTGTGGACCAGATCCTCCAGTCAGAACCGAGCTCCCAGGATCAGAGACTGTCAGAGACACAACGCAGAATAAACAGGTTCATATTTATATGACTCATCTTCATCATCACCATCTTCATAATTTTTCAATTTTTTTTATAAAGCAAGAAGACAACTGTTCCCTTGTTACCTCCAGCCATGGTATCATACCTACTGTTACCATGGCTGGTTACCACAGTGACGGCAATGTGTTTGCTGACCCACCTGTGTCCTCACAGTTGTATCCTCCGTGTCCCGGACAGCAACGCCACTGCAGAGAACTGAGGATCTTCTTCTTCTGAGTGTAGACTGGCCGGGTGGACAGCTTATACCTGCATACACACACACACACACACACACACACACACACACACACACAGGAAACAGAGACTCATTTATCAGTGATGAGCCACATTGAACAGTCTCTTTAAAAAATCCTTTATTCAGTGGTTTGTTTTTCTGCAGGAACATGAAGAATAATCATTTCTTCTTCTTCTTCTTCTTCTTCTTCTTCTTCTTCTTCTTCTTTCCATCATGGAGGCTTCTCTTCATCCACAGTTTGTGAGGAAAAGTGAAGAATTTCAACTTTTATCTTTCACTTCAGTCCAGAATCTGAGTTGTACCAGTTTGATAACAGACCCTGATCTGAAATCAGGTCCTGATCTGGTCTCAGATCAGACCCTGATCTCAGATCAGGTCCTGATCTGAGATCAGACCGTGGTCTCAGATCAGACCGTGGTCTCAGATCAGACCCTGGTCTCAGATCAGACCCTGGTCTGCGGGATCCAGTGGACGTTCAGAGAAAGTGTCAAATCTAATTTACAGTTAACAAGCTTTTCAAATGAGAGCAGCAGATGTTGTGACTGTAGATCAGGTTTCAGGACCAGGTCCAGGTTCTGAGTCTGGTGGTTTTATGTTTTTATAAATTGTTGCTGTCAGTTGTGGCAACACAGTTTCACAACACTGACAGTTATAGTTTAAATATACTGTATATATATATACATACATATATATACAGTATATAAAGTATCTATACATTTATATATGACCTGACATCAGGTGTTCTCTGGACCGTTTCCAGTATTTTTAAATGTAAAAAAAGTCGAACCAAAATAATAAATCAATGACTTTAAAATGAGCGGAGTTGTTTCCAGTGTTTCACAAGAAAAATAAAACTAAATTTAATGTGTAATAAGAGTTTTCCTCTGTGAACGCTTCCTGACTCCAGCACAGACTCTGATGATCATCATAAATTAAATGAGCAGTTTATGACACGAGGCATCTGTGTTTAAGGTAAATTCATAGAGTCCAGGAGAAAATGGATCCCAGAGTTTAACTTCAGACTTCATCCTAATGTTCTGTCAGAACACCAACACACACACACACACACACAACACACACTCACACTCACACACACACACACTCACACTCACACACACACACACACACACACACACACGTCACTTTTACTCACATGACAAGGTGACAGTCGGGGATCCCGCTCGGACAGGGACTCTGAGACTTGATGGTGTACTTCTCTGTTCCACAATTCTCCGCAACCGTTACCATACGCCTCTGTACGAATGCACACCAGTTCCTACACACACACACACACATTTAAATTCAGAGGCACTAGAAACATTAATGCAGAGTATTTATTATCTTATTAAAACTCAGCAGCAGCGAAAGAGAGAGGAGTGGTCAGGTTTTATTCAGTGTGGTCAACTCGTCCTTTACCACTTTGATTTCCTTTATTAGTGATTAATTACTTCAATTTTTGAACATAATTATTCACCTCAAACCTGATGGGGACAAAATACAGGAATATTGATTATACAACCTTAAACAACCACAAAGACAAAACAACCAAAAAGTGTCAAAACAACCACAAACACATAGAAATACAAATATTACAATATTTATTATATGTATATATGTATATATGTATATATATATATATATATATATATACACATATACACATAGTTATACATATATATATAATACGATATTTATTTATAAATATAATGTGCATATATATAATATAATATAATATTATATATATATATAATATTCAAATATGTGAAGACCTGCAGGTCGGACCCTCTGTCGTCTCTGTGCTTCAGTTTCTGTTCTGATGATTTTTAGACTCTTTGTTTCTGTTGGCTCAGACCTGACTGCTGTTTATCCTCCTGCCCTCTGCATGTGTGTGTGTGTTGTGTGTGTGACGTGTGGTAAGTGTGTGTGCGTGTGGGTTGTGTGTGTGTGTGTGTGTGTGTGTGTGTGTGTGTGTGTGTGTGTGATGTTGATGTTGGTGTTGGACTATTTGCCTGGTTACTTCCTGTCTGTTACACAATCACAGACTCTTCACTCAGTCAAACTCCTGCTCAGTGTCGTTAAAGTCACATGCTCTGACGAGAACCAATCAGATCCCTCACCTACATCACCTGTGGTTGTGTTCAACAGGAAAACCTGCCGGAGTTCAACCTGTTCTTCCTGGTCCTGATCCTGGTCCTGGTTCAGAGACTGACTCTGACTCACAAACATTATTATAAATCTATTGTTTCTATGTGAACTCACTGTGACTCAAAAAAGCCCCGTGTCACTTCCTCTGTTGTCCTTTTCTGTGATGTCATTTCCTGTGGACGGCTGTACATTTCTGAGGGAGTGAAACAATTGTTTTTATGATAAATTGATTTTGTTCTTCTCATTGTCATTTGTTTATTCTGACACTGGGTGGGGGGGGGTAAGTTCGTACGGGGGCTCTGGTCCAGGGGCCCAGGCCTGGGTCCAGTCAGGGGTCCATTCATGATACCAACTACCTTCACATGAGAGCAACTTGCTGGTTGTCTTCTGCTGTCGTCCTCTTCTTCTCCTGTTCTCAGAAACCACAGTCCGGTCTCCCCTGACCCAGGAACTGTATGAAGACCAGGACTCAGGACCAGGACTCAGGACCAGGACTCAGGACCAGGACTCAGGACCAGGACTGAGCTTCATCAGCTGATTCTATGAGTTTCTCTCTCAGGACAAATCAAGTTTTTATCTCAACACACTGAACAACATACAGTTTCCTCCAGCTGTTGAAATCATGGTTGTCAGAGTTCGTACCGTCAGCTCCTCCAGCTTTAACACCCCCCCACCCCTTATCTACCTCATCTCAGGTGTTCAGATCCACCTGTGTGATCCTCAGTCTGAAAACAAGCCTGTCCTTTCATCTGCCAGCTGTGTCTCTGCTGAATGAGCAGGAAATGATGCTTTCATGGTCCCGTTATCTGCAGCTTCAGCTCTCTTTCATCTGGTCACTCAGCTTCTTCTTTCCTCTTTTCTTCTTCTCATTTTTTCTTCTTTCCTCTTTTTTGTCTTTCCACTTTCTTCTTCTTCTTCTTCTTCTCCATCCTGCAGACTGAACTTTTATTTTGTAATATTCCTGTCCAACTGGACGGACACCATGACACACACAGAAACAGGAAGGCTGTATGTACACTTCAAAATAAGAGCAGATAACTGTCTGTTCAGATGATCTAAAGACGGAGGCGGTTCATCCTGAGGGAACATGAACGTGTCAACCAGTTTAACAACATCATCTTCTTCTCCACCTCCACTTCATCAGTGCTTAACTACCTGTTGACCTCTGACCCTCTGTTGACTCCCCCAACCCCCCCCCCCCCAATCCTCCCAATTAACCCTCAGCCTCCAAAGATAAAAACAGAAACCTGCTCTCCATTAGCACAAAGAGCTGCAGTCATTACAGCAGCTCTTAAAGTGTGTGTGTGTGTGTGTGTGTGTGTGTGTGTGGTGGGGGGGGGGGGTTCCAGAGCTAATGGAGTTCTGTTTTGTTAAGCACCCCCCCATCTCTCACCCCCTCAGGGACCATTTTATCAGCAGCAGTAATGACACATAGAATAACCACAAAGATTCAAAGATTCAAAGACACATGATGTCGTTTTGTCTCCTTCAGTTTTTGCCCCCCCCCCCC